TTTAACACATTGTATGCGGGAAACGTGTTTACACGTTCTACCAGTGTAGTAGAGCGCAGGACACGTATTAATACGTTTTTTATAGACTAGCGGTAGAATGTGGGTAACGTATAAATACGTAAACTAAAGTTATCGTAATTTTACTGAACGTTGCCATTTGCGCAAAAAATTAGCAAAAATGGCCCGCGCCAACTGTTAGCACGCGATAAAACTACCCGCAAACAATGTGTTAACTTTTGGCATTTTGATTACGGTGTGTCTTGATTTGGGCCTTCTTTGAGAACACGGTGCTTCCTAGACTTGTATGTCTATTTCCTTCACCAGGTTAGGGAAATTTTCTGTCATTTTTTTTTTACATAGGCTTGCAAGTTCTTGCTCTCTCTTCCTTCTCCTTCTGGCATCTCTATGATAATGAATGAATGTTGGTATTCTTGAAGTTGTCCCAGAGGCTCCTTATACTGTCCTCATTTTTTTTGGATTATTTTTCTTTCTAAGGTTTTTTATTAATTTTTAGAGAGAGGAAGGGAGAGGAAGAGAGAGAAACATCAGTGTGAGACATTAATCAGCTACCTCCTGTATGCCTTCCCCCAATCTCCCCAGGATTGAGCTAATAACCAGGGCATGTGCCCTGACTGGGAAGCAAACCAGTGACCTTTTGGTCATGGGACAAAGCTCAACCAACTGAGCCACACCAGCCAGGGCTGGGTTCCTTTTACTTTTTGCTGTTCTGGCTGGATGTTTCTGCTCCTTATCTCTATCTAATCTCTGATATGATCCTCTGCTTCATCTACTCTACTGTTAATTCCCTGTAATGTATTCTTTATTTCTGACTGGTTCTTTTTTATGTTTTTAGTTTTGTTTCTAAGTTTCCTTTTTCTTTGTTGAAGGTCTCACTGAGTTTACCTACTGTTCCCCTAGTTTATTGAGCATTCTTATAACCAGTGCTTTGAACTCTGTGCCTAATAGATTGCTTGTCTCAATTTTGTTTAGTTCTTTTTCTGGAGTTTGGTTCTTTTCTTTCATTTGGGACATGTTTTTTTGTCTCCTCATTTTGGCAGCCTCCCTGTGTTTGTTTTTATGTATTAGGTAGAGCTATAAAGTTTCCCAAGCTTGATAGAGTAGCCTAATGTAATATGTATTGTGTAGGGTCCAGTGGCACAGCCTTTCCATTCACCTGAGTTGGGCATTCCAGGTGTGCTTCCCCCCCGCCAGCCCCCCACCCCATGTGCACTGTGTGCACCCTCCTGTTGTAGATGACTGTGAAGCAAGACCGGCTGCCACTAGTGCTGGGCCTGACGCTACTTATGATTGGTATGGACATGCCAAGGCCATATGCTGCTTGTTTGAGAGATTTTAGAAAAGTCTGAAGCATGGTCCAAGACAGGCCCCTACACATGGAAAAGCCACTGGAAACAGCTTGGGTGGGCCCTCACGTTGAGTTCGGCAACAATGATAGCCAGGTTGATGGAGACTCAGATATGGCACCTGCCTGCCAGCTCTGTGGGGAGGGGCTCAGAAAAGGAACAATGGCCTCTGCCAGTACTTCTGCCTGGGAGAAAGCTGCTTGTCCAGCTCTCATCCTGATGCCAGACAGTTCAGTTCTTCCTTGTATGTTTCTGGTTTCCTTCAGGAAGCTGCAGCCCCCGTGCTTGAGCCCTTTAAGAGGAACATCTGGGACTCCAGCAGTCCTCTGTCTCACTCACCCACAAACCCCGTTTGTTTTTACAGCCAGAAGTTACGGGGTCTTCTCTTCCTGGCACTGGAACTGTGGACTGGGAGGTCTGGTGTGGGGCTGGGACCCCTCACTCCTCTGGGGGCTTCTCTGCAGCCCAGATATCCCTTCTGATATTTATCAGCCACATGTGGGTGTGGGACCAGCCCCTCCTACTAGCCTTGATGTGGCTGCTCCTTTATATCCTTAGTTGTAGGACTTCTGTTCAGCTAGCTTTCTGAACAGAAATGGTGGTTCTATATGATGGAAGCCCCCTTTCATTCTTTTAGCAAGTTTTTTACAGAGTAAGATTTTTCATTTATGAGGTCCAATTTATCAGTTTTTTATTGTGCTGTTCTTAAATATAAGATGCTTTGCTTATCTCTATGTCCTGAAAAATTTCTCCTATAAGTTTTTCTGAAAGTTTTAACATTTGACACTTTTTTTTCTTGTAGTTGGTATATTAAGGAGACACTCATAAATTTCAAGAATTGCTTAATTTCTGATATCCAGTTTTAAGTTTGGGAACATGACTTTTTTTGTTGCTGTTAATCCTCATCTAAGGATTATTTTTCCATTGCTTTTCAGAGAGAGAGAGAAAGGGAGAGAGAGAAAAAAAAAGAGAAACATCTATGTGAGGTAGACACATCAACTAGTTGTCTCCAGCATGCACCCAGACTGGGCAGGGAGTGAACCTGCAACCCAGTTACGTGCCCTTGACTGGGAATCAAACCCGAGACCCTTCATGCATGGGGCCACTTGAGAAACACTGGCCAGGGCAACACATGACTTTTAAACAACAATTAAAGCTATTTATCATAATTTGTTATACTACCAAGATTCAATTACAGTTACTTTGAAGCATACGTTAAATGGTTTAAAGCAGTGGTTGCCAACCTTTAAGACCTTATCCGTGGACCACCGGTTGGCGACTGCTGGTTTAAAGTAAGCCTGTAACATACCTAAAAAACACCTTCATGCCTCAGACATGCAAATTGTCCATGTAAAAGTATCATCACTCTTAATTTCTAAGTTAGCCTGCTCCAGAAGTCACTACTCTGATGCTTATCACGTTGCAAAGAGAAAGTAAAAATGTAACCAAGGACTGATATAGTTACATATATTTTTTAAAAGATGGCATGAAGAAGGGATTCATAGGTGTAATTCTATAAGTGCAAGTCCTCAAGAAGCAGCTTATTATGATAAACCCCTTCTTTGGAAAGGTATCATTTCTTTCAGTGATACCGCAGGGTAAATTATATGCCATGCCAAATAACAGTTGAGGCAATAGAATAAATGCAGAGGTATTACAGTGAATCCCACTTAATGGAAATATACAGAGTAACACTTCTCTACAAATTAAGTTCTCTTTGACTGCCAGTTAAATTAAGGGTCATAGACCAAAATCAATTCATATACCTAGCATTTCAGTAAGCTATTCTATGTACATAGCTGAAATTAATTACAAAGTGTGGCCAATCAAATGCTAGGGAAAATTATTAAAAGTAGTTTTTACAGGTATTAAATTTACCATGTACACTGAAGTTATAAATACAGGGCGAAGTCAGAGCTTTTATATTTGAGTTTCTTCATCATTTAACTGTTAAAGCACTACTATCGATGTATATAAAGAGCCAGGGTCTGTTAGGTTCAAAACGACCGAAAAGATGACCGAACTCCAGGCTGCACACGTAGCAGGCTCGGGTGGGCGGGGGCTGGCGAGCAGGCTGAACTGCTGACCGCTCCGGGGGTGGGGGGGGGGGGGGAGGGAGAGAGAGAGAGAGAGAGAGAGAGAGAGAGAGAGAGAGAGAGAGAGGCGGGGCTGATCAGGAGCTGCCGGTGAGGCCTGGAGAGAGAAGCAGGATCTGATCCGCAGCCTCCGTGGCAGCTTGCTGATCAGCCCTTGCCTCTTTCTTTCTCCAGGCCTCGCCAGCAGCTGCACCTCTCTCTCTCTCTCTCTCTGAGAGGTCAGCAGTTCAGCCCGCTCGCCAGCACCCCAGGGCAGCTGCTGATCGGCCCCACCTCTCCGATCAGGCCCAGAGGTAGGCCTGGAGACGCTGACTGGCAAAGAAACTGACCAATCAGAACCAAATCTGGGTGAACTGCGAGGAGCCAATGGCTGCCTAGGAGGCGAAGCTTCTGACGCTGACTGGCATAGAAACTGACCAGTCAGAACCAAATCTGGTCCCAAATTGCGAGAGGGATGTCCAGCAGTCTGACATCCCCCAAGGGGTCCCTGATTGGAGAGGCTGCAGGCTGAGCTGAGGGCACCCCCCAGCCCCTGCGCACAAATTTTGTGCACTGGGCCACTAGTAGTTGAATCCTATATAATAAAAGCCTAATAGGCTAAATTTCTGGTCGTCCAGTTGGCTGTTCAACCAATCAAAGCATAATATGCTAATGATATGCTGAGGCAGCTCAACTGCTTGCCATGACGTGCACTGATCACCTGGGGGCAGACAGTCGACTGTTTGACCAATTGCTATGACATGCACTGACCACCACGGGGCATACGTTCCAACTGGTAGGTTAGCTTGCTGCTGGGCTCCAGCCGATCGGGACTGAGTGGGATGAGCCAGACACGCCTTGGAACACTCCCACGGTCCCTCCCTGGCTGGACAACCTCCCACATCCCTCCCCGTCCCCAGTCGTGCACTGGTGGGGTTTCTCAGTCTGGTCTGCGCCCTCTCTCAATCTGGGACCCCTCAGGGGTTTCAGCCCAGTGGCAGAATGACCGGTTGCTGTGACAGGCACTCAACACAGAGACTGCCCCTTGGTGGTCAGTGCACTCCCACAGGGGGAGCAACACTCAGCCAGAGCCGGGCTCATGGCTGGCAAGCACAGTGATGGTGGTAAGGATGTCTGACTGACAGCTTAGGCCCGCTCCCTGTTGGAGCGGGCCTAAGCTGTCAGTCAGACATCCTCCGAGGGCTCCTGGACTGTGAGAGGTCACAGGTTGGGCTGAGGGACCCTCCCAAGTGCACAAATTTTGTGCACTGGGCCTCTAGTATTAAAACAAAAGCAATAGCAAGTGGTAAGTATATTTTGATTATAGTCCTTAACTCATTCACTACAGCATATAAAATGCCAACAGTGAGATTTATTCACTGGCCCCTTTAAGAAGTCTGACACTGAACACCATCCCTATGATAAATTGGCATGCCTTCATTTGGCATGCACTTGATAACTCTGTTTGACAATCAGACCTGGATGAGAGGTGATGACTGTGGTTTGGTTGTCAAGAGTAGCTATTGGCTTTTATTATTATTATTATTATTATTATTTTTTTTTTAATATGGAATGCTCTACGAATTTGTGTGCCATCCTTGCACAGGGGCCATGCTAATCTCTGTATCGTTCCAATTTTAGTATATGTGCTGCCAAAGCGAGCATAGCTATTGAAAGGCACACAGTGCTTCAATCAGTTGTATGTCCATAACACACAAAAAGGTCGTCTCCTTGTCTAGTGAAAACACCATGGTCCTTCTGATCTAAAACAGTGATAATATTTTCTGGCTCCAGTCCTGGTTTTTGGTGTCCTTCATCATGGAATGTTATCTTCTGGTCATTTTTCATATCTTTGTCAATGTGAACTTCTAGAATCTTCTCTCCAACTATCTTCCTTCCATTGCAGCTTTTGCATGTGTCTTCAGTGCATCTGACCTGGCATTCCATGCACACAGACTGAATTTGCTAAAGGTCCCATCTGATGAGTTCTCATTTGCATCCCAGTACCTCTGAGATTGGGCCAGTACTCTACTGCTCCTTTATTCCCACCTCAGTCTTCACATTTGTTACAGATCATATTTGTTTGCTGAGATAGTTTTCTTGTTGCACCATTATATAAATCTAAGGTTACTGAGAGCTGATGCTTCTTTTTATCTGCATCCTTCCTCCTCCTTCAAAGAATATATCAAAGATGTCAATGGGAGAGCCAAAACTGCCCCCTCTCCACCTTCTTTAATTGCCTGTTCTCCTTTGCCATATAATTCCCTTTTCTTTGCATCAGAGAACACTTCATAAGCTTGAGAAATCTGTTTAAACTTCTCTCCTTCATTTGGATTCATATCAGGTGGTACTTAAAGGCCAGCTTCCTGTAAGCCTTTTCAGTTCTTCTTGGGTGGCATTGGGTTTGACTCCCAGGACATCATAGTAAGTGGTTTCTTTTACCAGTTTTGACAGCCAGTGAGCAGTCCCCGGCCTGTGTGGGGGAGTGGGAAAGAGCCTATTGCTCTGTGCAGCTTGGGGAGCTGTACTCCCATTGAGCATTCTGGAAAGTCCCACCAACATTTTACATTCAAATCTGTGATCCATTTTGAGTTAAAATTTTAAATAAGGGGTAAGATTTAGGTTAAGGTTCTTTTTTTGGCCTATGGATGTCCAGTTGCTTCAGCACTGTTTCTTAGAAAGGCTACATTTTTCCTCTGTGGAATTGCCTGTATCTTTGTTGAAAATTATTTGGAAATATTTGTGTGGCTAGGCATTTTTTTTAAATAAGGAAAGGTAAAAAATAGAAAAAAATCACATGCAATTCCACCCCTCTGATATACTTATAACAGGGTAATATGCTAATTAGACCAGATAGACTGGACATCTTCCAGATGTCCTTCCAGACAAAGCCATGGTGGCGGGGGCTGAAGCAGAGGTTAGAGGCACGATCAGGCTGGCAGGGGAGATCGGTTAGGGGCAATCAGGCATGCAGGCAGAGGCAGTTAGGGGCAATCAGGCAGGCAGAGTGGTTGGGGGCGATCAGGCAGGCAGGCAGGCAGGTGAGTGGTTAGGAGCCAGTGGTCCCAGATCGTGAGAGGGATGTCCAACTGCCGGTTTAGGCTTGATCCTGCAGTTGGACATCCCCTGAGGGGTCCCAGATTGGAGAGGGTGTAGGCTGGGCTGAGGGACACCCCCCCCCTTCCCTCCCTGGGCACAAATTTCGTGCACTGGGCCTCTAGCCTATAATAATAAAGGCGTAATATGCTAATTAGACCAGACGTCCTTCTGGACGAAGCTGGGGCTGCGAGGGAAGCCTGGGTCCCAGGTGCCTGCCAGTGGCCAGAGGGAAGCCAGGTCCCCGGTGCCAGAAGGAAGCTGGTGCTGGCAGCTGGGGGAAGGAAGGCCTACTCTTGCACGAATTTTGTGCATCAGGCCTCTAGTCTATTAATATTTTATTGTGTTTCTTTCTAGTCTTTCCTTAAGCCTGTGTGTATGTGCATAAGATGATATATTTTTTGTTCTAAAAAACACAAATTGTTCATAGCTTTTTGTTCTTGTATTATGAGCAATCTTCTTTTATGTAGCTCTGCTGTAATTTATTATTTATGAGACTTTATAATATTCCCATTTTTTATAACAAAAATTCAACGCAAAATAATAGATTCTCAGTTTTAACTTGTTAAATTAATTTAACCTATGCATCATTTACCTTAAAAAGGACAAAACTCTACTTTACTTTTTGTCCACTTTTTAACCTACTATCTCTGCCAAGCATTGCAGTATGTACTAGTATTGGGCACTTTAGAGTAGAGTACTCCTTTGAATTGTATAATGTGAAGAGATTTCTGTGTATCAATTTACAGAGCACTGTTTCTACACTTTGGATATCTATCTACCTTGTCTACATCCTATGTAGGAACAAGGACTTGAGGCAGATTTCTGGAGATTCTATTCTCCTAGCTTTAGAAATTATATATAGCAACAGCATTTATACATCTACCTTGTGCTAAGAACTGTTCTAGGCTCCGGGGAGCGGACAAGGAACAAATACTATATGAAGTCCTGCTTAATTATGTTGTAGGCTGTAAGTAGCACCACTTTTATTCTAGTAAAGGAGGAAACTGAGGCATTCTTTTCTTTTGTCAGGATCCATTGTGCCATACAGCCTCTTGATTTATGTAGTTAGTTTGCTGTGTAACTTTCTAGGTGTGTTTGCTTGTTTGGTTGGTTGGTTGGTTTGGGGATCTTTTGAAATGATACTTCAAGGGCAAACTTAAAAAAAAAAAACTAACTTCTTTTATTTGTTCACCATATGATAGAATTATTTAAATAAGATACCTATATGTTCAGTTTGACTATTTTGACTATTATTTTAATATTTCTTCTTAAAAATAAGATTTGAGGTGATTTTTTAATAGGATGTGAATACTGTAGTTAATAGGATTGGAAAGTCAGATCCAAAAAAGTGCTGGGGTCCAACCCCAGCAGGTCCAGGGGTCCCCAAAGGTGTAGACGGAGTCAGCGAAGAAGGAAGGACACGGAGACAGCGTTCAGTTGATCAGCAGCCTAGCCAGGATCTCTAGCCAGGATCTCCAGCCAAGTTCTGGTCTGGATCTCCAGAGAGGTTCTGCTTCAGATCTCCAGCCAGGTTCTGTGTCCATGTTCTCTTGCTAGGTTCTCCAGCCAGGTTCTGTAGCCATGTTCCCTCGCTAGGTTTTCCAGTCAGGTTCTGCCCAGGTTCTCCAGCCAGGTTCAGTTACCAGGTTCTAGTCAGGTTCTCTTGCCAATTTCTGTAGTCAGGTTCAGTGCAGGATCTTTTGCCATTTTCTCTCCAGCAAAGTTCTTCTGTCTGTGTAGGTTCCTTCTTCTGAGTTCTGTCTTCTTCGTTCTGTGTTCTGAGTTCTGCATTCTAAGTTCTGAGTTCTAAGTTCTGTGTCTTGCTGTCTTGTTGCATCTGTATTTATACCAGTTGATTCAGTCCTATCAATCTCTATTACAAAGGTTAGGGCGTTTCTTATCTTCATTCCAGGGAGTAAAGATTATGTAGCTTAAGCACGATTGTTCGTAGTTAAAGTGATTAATTACCCGCCTGGCACCTAATTGAGGGGTTTTATTCCCTCCCTAACTTCAGGGGAAAATCCCTACCTGGGGAAACAACCTTTCTCAGAGAGGAGACCTTGGTTAAAACACATAGTGCCAAGAAGGTGAGCAAAAATATTAAGAACAATATGCCATATATGCCAGGTCCCTTGAAACAGCAAGGATGGACCGGCTCCCGGCAAATTCCCCCTTTTTTATTTTTTAAAAGCAGGCATTAAAAAGAAAAACCCCAATTGCTCTCTTGTATCCATTTTAAGAGTAGGATTGGCGCTTTCCGGTATTACCTGAGTCCTGATCTATCACCCCAGGGAGAGCTTGCCAATCCTGCACTTTCCCGGGGTGGAAAGGCTGCAGTGGGGTTAAGGATAAGGCTCCTTGGGCCTACCTTCTCCCATGCCTTTACATTTACCTTTCCTTCCTCAGAAAAGCATGGACATACTTCTTGTATAAAACGTTCTGTCTGACTGGGAGTAACCTTAATTCCTCTGCTAGCAAGCATATGTGTTAAAAGATCAATACAGAGTCTTATTTCTTTAGACTCAGTATGGCACATCTTCTTAATCTAAAGATCAATACAGAGTCTTCTTTCTTTGGACTCGGTATGGCACATCTTCTCAATCTAAGTTCTGTACTATCCACCTTCTTACCCTACTTATCCTCATAGGGGGGTTTGCAGCACCCTGGTGGAGTCCTATCCGTCCCGAATGTGGGGGTTCTCAATGGGGGGGGCTTACCTAGGGGAATCCTGTTCCAGGGGTTCCCAAAGGTGTGGACAGAGTCGGCGAAGACTATCCACCCTCTTCCTACGGTGGAGTCCTATCCATCCCGAGAGTGGGGCGCTTACCTAGGGGTCCCTGTTCGGGCGCCATATGCTGGGGTCCAGCCCCAGCAGGTCCAGGGGTCCCCAAAGGTGTGGACGGAGTCGGCGAAGAAGGAAGGACATGGAGACAGCGTTCAGTTGATCAGCAGCCTAGCCAGGATCTCCAGCCAGGATCTCCAGCCAAGTTCTGGTCTGGATCTCCAGAGAGGTTCTGGTTAGGATCTCCAGCCAGGTTCTGTGTCCATGTTCTCTTGCTAGGTTCTCCAGGGTCTCCAGCCAGGTTCTGTAGCCATGTTCCCTCGCTAGGTTCTCCAGCCAGGTTCTGTGTCCATGTTCTCTTGCTAGGTTCTCCAGGCAGGTTCTGTGCAGGTTCTCCAGCCAGGTTCAGTCACCAGGTTCTAGTCAGGTTCTCTTGCCAATTTCTGTAATCAGGTTCAGTCCAGGATCTTTTGCCATGTTCTCTCGCTAGGCTCTGTCTCTAGGTTCTGAGGCCAGTTTCTGTCCAGGATCTTTTGTCATGTTCTCTCCAGCAAAGTTCTTCTGTCTCTAGAGAACGTTCTGTGTAGGTTCTGTGCCTAGGTTCTGTCTCTCTTGGTTCCGTATTCTAAGTTCTGTGTCTTGCTGTCTTATTACATCTGTATTTATACCAGTTGATTCAATCCTATCAATCTCTATTACAAAGGTTAGGGCGTTTCTTATCTCCACTCCAGGGAGTAAAGATTATGTAGCTTAAGCATGATTGTTCGTAGTTAAAGTGATTAAT